AGCCGATCAATGACTCTCATCATTGATGTTTCTCTCTCTCTCTTCCTCTCTCTGAAATCAATAAAGACATTTTTTAAAAAAGAAAAGAAAATTTAACAGGTCCCAAACTGAATTCACTGTCTCTATTTTGCTTTTGATTTTTTTGGTCACCACTCCATTAATCGAATAAACCAGGGACCTGGAATATCTTACTACTAAAATATTTCTTGAAACCATCCATGCATTTCCTTCCCTACTGCCTCTGTCCTCATTCAGCCTCATCCTGTCTTGCCTGGTGTTGAAACAATTTTTCTAACAAGTATAATTATTTCATTTTTTTGCTCTGGGTAAAATCTAATCTTTTCAACATCACATAGGAAGTCCTTTGTAGCCTGGTCTCACCTACTCTTCCATCTCCATCTTTTGCACGGCCTAACCTCTAGCCACACTGAACTACTGCCTCTCCCAGAACCTGACAAACTCTTTCAAGCTTTCGTGCCTTTGTATATGCTATTTCCTCTGCCTGAAATACTCTTATCTTCTTGGTAAACTCTTTTTCACTCTTCAAGTCTCAGCTTGTGTTAACTCCTCTGTGAAGTTTCCTCTGATGCCATCAGGTCTATGTGGATGTCCCTACCTCTAATGCTCTGATTGCATTTTGAACATACCCCCATGATCCCAATAATCACCTTATGGTCTAATTGTTTGAACATCTCTCTCCCCTTTAGCTTCTGATCTCCTTATTCCATCTTTGCATCTCCTGCACATAGCATATGCTAATCACTCTGTGGATCAAATGAATGAATATATGAATGGGTTCTTCTCCATGCAGGTAGCATCTTCTATTTGGAACACAAGAGGGAGCTATCCTCTCTCATTGCCCTATACTAGACTGTCATTCAACATTGACTTGAGTTATCCCCAATACAGGGCTAAGGACTGGTCAGGAAGGGATTTAACCAACCTGTCAATTTTTAACGCTTTCATAAAATTTTCAGAAAGTCTCTTCCAATGGTTGGATTCTCCAAACCATGAATGTTCATGTTTAATTGAATCTGAAACACACGTTTTAACTCTAGCTGAATATGAGTAACTAAGAATTTATGGAATAAATTATTTTGTAAAATATTTGATAATGATATTTATTTTAAGCAGATGTATATTGGTCTAAGAATTTTAAATTTGTGATGCCTAGAGTGAAGCCATTATAATTTCGATGAAAAGTTATTTTTTTAAGAAAGTCTATAAGATGTAGACTATCTTGGTTAGTAAGAGGAAAATGAAGCAAGTTTGCTAATAGTAAGAATACATGTTACATTCTGGAACTTCAAAAACAAATATTTTCAGTATAAGCAAATAATAGTGTAATGCATTTTGGTGAGGGTCACATTATTCCTGCATTTATTTGAAAGGGAGGTTATAAAATATTTTACAAGAATGGCTCATCTCTATTAGCATGGTTCTTCAAAGAAACACTAACAAAAGGCTTTTTGTATCTTAAGGACAGAAGAACAATGTTAACTTATTTCCAGTTTTCCAAAATATTTATTAAAGATGACTAAAGCAAAAAAGATAGCTGGTGAGTGAAATTTGCCTTGATTAATTTCTTCCTGTTCAACTTAACGAATTAGGTCTTCCTAATCTACATTGCCAAGTTTAAAGTTAATTTTTCATGACCTGACCTTAATTTGATTGTAATTACTAAGCTAACAGGCCTTCTGCATGAAGAGGTGGGATTAAAATGAAAAGTCCCCACATTCAGCAATCCTGCTTTTCCTATGAAGCTTGTAGTTTCCCTCAGGAACACCTTCCTCCCTGGTTTGCCAAGGAGGGTCTGATAGTAGAATTTCTTCTAATCTGAGAAAAATCTCATGCCAGTCTTTACTTGACCCACTTCTCCCTGAGCTCACCACCATGATTGGGATATATACACAATGTATGTTGATATTAACAAGCACTAGATACAGACACACACCGACAAGTTCATATAAACAGAAATACAGGCACAAGAAGGAAGGAGTTCTCAGTAACAGACATCTAAACACAAAAACCCTGCATCAGAGGACCCTGTGACAAAACTGGGATGCTTTCTCACTGGGGCAGGCCAATCCTCACACTTTGGGGCCCTCCTTTATCACCTTACCTGGAAAGGTGAGGAACACCTTTTCCCTTTCTGAAGTCCCTTAAAATACTGACACATTTTCATACTAAGTTGCATTCCAGACAGAGTTGCCCAATCCTACCTACCATAGGATGAAATGGGGCTCCCATGTATGTAGGTGGGGGGCAAGAAATAGTTTCTATCTTTAAGAAAATGCATCCTAGTACAAGCTACAGTCTTCAGCAGCCAAAGTTCTTGTGCACTTTCTTACTGCTCTGTGGCCTTATAGCTTGACAGGAATTTCTGCTTGAAATCTCCTGCCCACCTCCCCCCATCTCCAGAACCCATAGAGTAAGGAATATTAATACTCTCAACAAAGGGGGAGTGGGTCACATGCCTGGAGTTGCCAAGAGCTCTGGATGGTGATACACAGCTACTAGAATGTGACTGATGTTTTATTTCTCTGATTGGAGTTGATCTCATTAAAAGTTTACAGCCCTGGCTGGCTAAGGGGACCCTGTCAGAAACTCCTGTCCCCGCCTCTCCTGTGGGCATGTGTATGTGCGTTGTTGCACTAAAGGAAAAATTAAGTGGAGATTCAGAACTAGATCTGAAAAGTAGGTGGAGGCAAGAATCTCCAGTAAGGGCTGAGGTAAGTAAGGATCCCAGGGGTGCTGAATCATACAAACCGAACTATCCAGAATCCAGCTAAGCCGGGGTAAGGATTGGACGCCCATGAGCCTTGTGGCGTTTATGGCCTTACGAGGTTTTTCTTGCCTCCTCTTAGTCTCTTACCGAACTTTTTCTTTGATCTGATTTTGATCAGGCTGGACACAAGAAGTGCGCCCCTAGGGGCCCTGGGGAGGGCGGCACTTCCAGGACCCCTCCAAACCCCCCGCCCCCCTACGGCACCGACCCGGCAGCCACACCCCGGCCACACCCCGACCACTCAAGGTTCCCCACTTTCACTTCTTCCAAGCAATGCGTGCGCGGCAGCTCGCCCCGCTGGCCTCCTCCTTGTGGAATCAGGGGACCGGGTCCCGGTTCCGTCACGAAGGCGCGCGCGCCCTCTCTCTCGTCCTCCACTCTTCTCATTCACTTAGGGACCAAGCTATGACGGGACAACCCGGGTCCCGGGTGCTTCTCCACCTCCCACTCTAAGTTACCCTCGACCTTCTCAGATTGCACCCCAGCCTGGCACGGAGACGGGTCGGTGCCAGTCTCCTCCGCGGCCATCCCTCAGACTCCCCCCCCTCCCGTGCCCAACACCCCGGGCAGCTCCCGCACAAACCTAGAGAAGCAGTCGAGGGTGCGTCGGGGCGCGGGTGCGGTGAGACCTCCGCGATCTCCCGATGAACTCCCCGGGGGTCTCCCACTGAGTCTGAGGGTGGGCGCTTTGCTTTGACGCCTGGCCAAGGTCTTCGGGGCTTGGTCTTACAGCCCAGAACCAACGGCCTGGAGAGTATCTGGGGAGCGCCTCTCGGTCCCCCCACACCCCACACTCACTCCGTCTTCCTTCCACTCCCAGCCTCAACAGACCGGTGGAAGCGGACTTGCCCTTTTCGCTCTCCACGTGGCCGCACCAGCACAGCCCTAGCCACGGACGGGAACTTTCCCTCCACCTGCGTCCGCAGAGCGCGTGGCACCTCACCTTGCGCGCTCGGGTCCCCTGGGAGCACCTCGGCGGGTCCCCGGAACGC